CCGGCGCCGGGCTCTTGGCCTGCCGATGGCTCTGGCTGCGGGTGGTGCGTGGGGACGGACCCCCGCCTCCCCCACCCCGGCCCCTGGGTCCACATCCAGTGCCAGGACCCACGCCCGGCCCAGCCCCGGGCTCCTGCTCCCGGCCCCGTGCGGGTGCTGGTGGGTGTCGCTGCAAATGCGCTGGCGGAGGCCTGGGGAACCCGAACTCTGCAGCAGGGCCGGGGCGCGGGCGTGAGCCCAGGTGACGCTGGCCCTCGGCCTCTCCACAGACCAGCATGAAGAACATGGAGCGGGAGCTGATTTGCCCGGCCTGCAAGGAGATGTACAAGCAGCCGCTGGCGCTGCCCTGCACGCACAACATGTGCCACGTTTGTGCCAGCGAGATCCTCATGCAGCATGGCTACCTCTGCTGCGACCCCAGCTCTGAGCCCTCCTCGCCTGCCTCCACGCCGGCCACCCGCAGCCCTCGCCTGGGCCGCAGGGCTGTGCCCAAACCCGAGCGCCTGGACCGGCTGCTCAAGACAGGTGGGGACAGGGGGCACATCCCTACCCAGGGGGCTGGGCCACAGCTTCCCCATTCCTCCGAGTGCAGGGGGCCAGGGAGGGGGATTCCCTGGGGGTTGCTGTGGCCATGGGGGTGTGGGCTGAAGTGCCAGCCCTGGGGTCAGCCCAGGCAGAGAAGCTGTTCTGGTCCAGCAGTCAGCGCTGGAGGGGCCTGGGGCCATGGCAAGGAGTGGGCAGCCGTGGGCACATCAAAGGCTCTGGCCGAGCTCCTTGTGATGGGCTCTGCTCCCCTCCCCCAGGCTTTGGCACCTACCCAGGGCGGAAGCGCGGGGCCGTGCACCCTCAGACCATCAGCTTCCCATGTCCAGCCTGCAAGCGGGATGTGGACCTCGGCGAGCGCGGCTTGAGCAGCCTGTTCCGCAACCTGACACTGGAGCGGGTGGTGGAGCGGTACCGCCAGAGCGTCAGCATCGGCAGCGCCATCATGTGCCAGCTCTGCAAGCCACCGCCGCTGGAGGCCACCAAGGGCTGCGCTGAGTGCCGGGCCAGCTTCTGCAATGAGTGCTTCAAGCTCTACCACCCCTGGGGCACCCAGAAGGCCCAGCACGAGCCCACCCTGCCCACCCTCACCTTCCGGCCCAAGGTGGGCACCTGACACAGCCCCCGGCTCTGGGGACAGGGGCTTGGGTGCTCTGGCCTGCTCCATCACATACATGCAGCGGTGTGGGGCTGTTGATGCCAGGCTCTGACTAGGCTGGGGGTGCTTGGCCCAGCTGTGTCAGGGGAGTCAGTGCCTGAGTGGGAGGGGGAGCAGGAGCACGGGGCAGGCACTGACCTCCCTGCTTGCCTTGCAGGGCCTGCTGTGTCCAGAGCACAAGGAGGAGGTGACGCACTACTGCAAGACCTGCCAGCGGCTCGTGTGCCAGCTCTGCCGCGTGCGCCGCACGCACACCAGCCACAAGATCACGCCCGTACTCAGCGCCTACCAGGCACTCAGGGTAAGGGGCTCAGGCTGCTTCGCCTGGTGCAAACAGGGGGAGAAGGAGCAATCTGCCCCAATCCTGCCCACCTGCTGCACCTGGGCCCCACTCGGTTCCACATGGGGGAGCCCATTTAAATCCACAAACTGCGGCTGCACCATCTACCAGGCTTCCTCTGGCCCTGGTGCCTCCCAGCAGCTGCTCCCAGGCAGGTTCTGCCCTTGCCACCTATTCCCAGGCAGGTTCTGTCCTTGCCACTCACCGCTACTCTCTGCCCCTATGCAGGAGAAGCTGACCAAGAGCCTGGCCTATATCCTGAGCAACCAGGACACGGTGCAGCTGCAGATCGTGGAGCTGGAGGAGACAGTGAAGCACACGGAGGTGAGGGGCACTGCTGGGGCAGGGTGGTCCAGCCTGTGCCTGGTGCCCTGGGAAGGAGGCACTGCCTGCGCCTGGCCCCATGCTGACTTAGCTCTGCTCTGGCCGCAGGCAAATGGGTCTCAGGCCAGGGAGGAGGTGTCGCATCTGATCCAGGGCCTGTGCACGGTGCTGGAGGAGAAGCGGGCGACACTGCTGCAGGCCGTTGAGGAATGCCAGCAAGAGCGGCTCACCAGCCTGCACACCCAGATCCGTGAGCACCAGGCCATGCTGGAGAACTCGGGCATGGTGGGCTATGCCCAGGAGGTGCTCAAAGAGACTGACCAGCCCTGCTTTGTCCAGGCCGCCAAGCAGCTGCACCACAGGTACCGGATCTGGCCCCCCACAGCCACACCAGCCCCAGTGGGTGATGCACCCTGAGCATGTCTTTGCATGGGCAAGAAGTGCCTGGCCCTGGGGGAGCACAAGCGAGGGACGTGGTGCCCAAGCCCTGGACCCCCACTTGCTGGGAGCCCTGCCCCTGTGGTGCAAGCCCCGGGACCCATTCCCACAGGGCACCCTGCCCTCCCATGCCAGGACATTCCCCACTCCCCCCATTGTGCAGGCATGAGAGCCTTGGGGCATGGCTGTGCCTGGAAGCCACCAACCTGGGGTGCTGAACTGACACCCCAACTCTGGTCACTCTAGGATGCTCAGGGCCATGGACTCACTGCAGAGTTTTCGCCCTGCGGCCACGGCATCCTTCAGCCACTTCCAGCTGGACGTGAGCCGGGAGATGAAGTTGCTCACAGACCTGACCTTCGTCAAAGGTAACCGTGGCAGGAGTGGGCATTGCCAGGAGCACGCAGGGCAGAGCTCTGTGCTGGGGTGGGGGGGCTCCCAGCCGGGCCCCACACCCCCTTCCACCTGCAACTGGGTTAAGGGCAGATGGACCAGTCCCAGTCTCCTTGGAGCCAGCTGCACTCAGGACCCCAGCCCAGGGTGTGCAGAGCTGGGCCTCCCTGGAGCCTGTCTTGCTGCTCAGTCCCAGGGCAGGAGAAGCTCCTGCCGGCTGCAGCGGGCACAGGTCTGCACCGGGCTCCCTGCAGCAGGGAGGGTGGGTGGGCAGCGTAGGTGACGCGGCAAGGGCTGGACGCAGGTGCAAGGGCACAGGACACAGCATCGGAGACAGATGGGTGAGCAGGCGGCGGCCAGGGCCCCGCAAGGGCTGTCTGTGCTCCCTCCCGATGGAGCAGGTGCCCCGTCCCGCACTGGGCCCCGTGGCTCTGTTCAGACCTGCTTCTACCTCTCTTTGTTTATAGGCTGCGGCCGCTGCTGAGTCGACACTGAAGTCACCGAGGCAAGTCACCCCCGCCCCAACGCTGCCCCTGCTCTCTCTGTCCCCCCTCCTGCTCCCTCCCTTCCACCGTCTGCCCCCACCATTCCCTCCCCGGCCCCCCTCCTGCGCCACCTGGCCCTCTGCCGTCCTCCCATCTCTGTCCCATTCTCATACCTCCATCCTCTCCTGCTGTCTCCATGCATCCCCCCCACCTTCCCCCTTTCTCTCTTTCTCTCTCTCCCCCCTACTTGCACACAGTCTGCCTGGTCCCTGGAGCCTCTCAGCAGCCCGCCCCCGTGTCCCCAGTCCCTGGTGCCCAAACGCAGTCTCTGCCGTCGGCCCTCGGACTCCTGCTGGTTGTGCGTCCATCCGGACCCCCCCCTGCGTCTGGCCGCTCACCCGCCCGCTTGCGGGGGCTGCACCTGACACCTGTGTCTGTCCACAGCGCCTGAGGCCCCAGTGATCGACACGCAGCGCACCTACGCCTATGACCAGATCTTCCTGTGCTGGCGCCTGCCACAGCACTCGCCACCTGCCTGGCACTACACCGTGGAGTACCGCAAGACTGACACCAAGGCCAAGGCGCTCAAGCTATGGCAGCGGCGGGAAGAGGTGCGGAGCACCAGCACCCTTGTGGAGTACCTGGACACCGACAGTGTCTACGTGCTGCGCGTCCGGGGCTGCAACAAGGCCGGCTTTGGCGAGTACAGTGAGGACATCTATCTGCACACGCCGCCTGCCCCAGGTGAGCTCCCACCTGCACACGCCCATGGCCCAGGTGAGCTCCTACCTGCACATGTACACGGCTCAGGTGAGCTCCCACTTGCACATGCCCACGACCCAGGTGAGTTCCTATCTGCACATGCCCATACCCCAGGTGAGCTCCCACCTGCACATGCCCATGCTTCAGGTGAGCTCCTACCTGTACATGCTATTTGCTCAGGTGAGCACTAACCTGCACATGGCTATGCCCCAGGTGAATGCCTACCTGCACACACATATGCCCACACCCCAGATGAGCACTGATCTGCACACATCCACGGCTCAGGTGAGCTCCCACCTGCACATGCCACCTGCCCAGGTCAGCCCTGACCTGCACACACCTACGCCCCAGGTGAGCACCCACCAGCACACGCCTACACCCCAGGTGAGCACTTACCTGCACATGTCCATGCCTTAGGTGAGCACTGACTTGCACACATCCACAGCCCAAGTGAGCACTGACCTGCACATGCCTATGCCCTGGGTGAGTGCCCACCTGCACATGCCCACACCCCAGGTGAGCTCCCACCTGCACATGCTCATGGCCCAGATGAGCTTCTTCCTGCACATACCCATGCCACCAGTGAGCTCCCTGCATATGCCCACACCCCAAGTGAGCTCCCATCCACACATGCCCATGGCCCAGGTGAACACTGACCTGCACACACCCACACCCCAGGTGGGCTCCTACCTGCACACGTACACGGCTCAGGTGAGCTCCCACTTGCACATGCCCACGACCCAGGTGAGTTCCTATCTGCACATGCCCATACCCCAGGTGAGCTCCCACCTGCACATGCTCATGGCCCAGGTGAGCTCCTACCTGCACATGTACACGGCTCAGGTGAGCTCCCACTTGCACATGCCCACGACCCAGGTGAGTTCCTATCTGCACATGCCCATACCCCAGGTGAGCTCCCACCTGCACATGCTCATGGCCCAGGTGAGCTCCTACCTGCACATGTACACGGCTCAGGTGAGCTCCCACTTGCACATGCCCACGACCCAGGTGAGTTCCTATCTGCACATGCCCATACCCCAGGTGAGCTCCCACCTGCACATGCTCATGGCCCAGGTGAGCTCCTACCTGCACATGTACACGGCTCAGGTGAGCTCCCACTTGCACATGCCCACGACCCAGGTGAGTTCCTATCTGCACATGCCCATACCCCAGGTGAGCTCCCACCTGCACATGCTCATGGCCCAGATGAGCTTCTTCCTGCACATACCCATGCCACCAGTGAGCTCCCTGCATATGCCCACACCCCAAGTGAGCTCCCATCCACACATGCCCATGGCCCAGGTGAACACTGACCTGCACACACCCACACCCCAGGTGAGCTCCTACCTGCACACCCCACCTGCCACAGGTGAGCTCCCACCTGAACACACCCGCAGCCCAGGTGGGCACTGACCTGCACAGTCCCACACCCCAGGTGAGCTCCTACCTGCTCACACTGCCCACACCAGGGGATGGGGGCACCTGCCTGTACACACCACCTGCCCTTGGTGAGCAGGTGGGCATCTACCTGCATGCGCCACCTGCCCCAGGTGAACTGGGGGGATGCGCCCAGCCATAGACCCTGCGGGCTCAGACGAGGCTCTGGCAGACTCTGGGCTCCCTGGGGCCGTGTCTGACATCCCCACAGCAAGCCGCTTCAGCCTGTGGCATGTGTGACCCAGCCCCAGAGCCCTGCAGCCATCCCGGGGCACAGCCTGGGCCCAGCCTCTCCCACCCACACCCAACCCTCTCCATTCCCTCCCAGTCTTGAACTTTTTCCTGGACAACCGCTGGGGCTTCAGCCGGGAGCGCTTGGCCATCAGCAAAGACCAGCGGGCCGTGCGCAGTGTGCCCGGCGTGCCCATGCTCTTCGCCGCCGAGCGCCTCATGACCAGCTGCCACCTCTCCATCGACCTAGTCATAGGGGACGTAGCCATCACCCAGGGCAAAAACTACTGGGCCTGCTGCGTGGACCCCAGCTCCTACCTGGTCAAGGTGGGCGTGGGGCTGGAGAGCAAACTGCAGGAGTGGTTCCAGGTACCACAGGATGTGGTGAGCCCCAGGTAAGCAGGGGGACAGGTGGGGTCATGGACCTGGCACGGGAGGTGTCCGCATGTCTGTGGGCTGTGGCTCATGCTGGTGGCCTGCCCAGCAGGTACGACCCAGACAGTGGGCATGACAGTGGGGCAGAGGACACCACAGTGGATGCATCGCCCCCATACGCCTTCCTGACCATCGGCATGGGCAAGATCCTGCTGTCCCATGGCTCGGCCTTGACCTCGCGTGACCCCAACGGCTGCACCGTGCCGCTGCCCCCACGCATCGGCATCTGCCTGGACTACGAGCAGGGCAAGGTGAGCTTCTATGATGCTGTGTCCTTCCGGGAGCTGTGGGAGTGTGGCGTGGACTGCTCGGGGCCTGTCTGCCCGGCCTTCTGCTTCATCGGGGGCGGCGCGCTGCACCTGCAGGAGCTTGTGGCTAGCAAGCAAGAGCGCAAGGTCACCATCGGCGGCTTCTCCAAACTGGACTAGCGGGGCCTGGCTGCCGGGTTGGCAGCTGGCAGTGGGACCCCAGTGCCAGCCTGGCCTCACCTTCCTCCCAGGAGTGCGCTCCAGGGCCTGAAGGTATAAAAGGGGTCCTGAGCCATGGCCCAGTGGTGGGGCCACAGGGGCTGACCCTGCCTGCAGGGACCCAGCCCCAAGTCAAGGCCCAAAGCCACGTGGTGCCTCCTGGGCTGGGTAGTCTCTGGGCTGGGTAGTCCCAGGCCGGGCTGCTGCCCCTCCCCTGGTGCCCCGGAGCGGTTGGCTCCTGGCAGCAGGTGTGAATCCAAGGTTACAAACAGACCTGGGAGCAGCAGCTGGCTGCAGGGGCAGGGATGGAGGTGAGGGTGGGATTGGGGTGGAGGGGCCTGGGTGCAGGGGTGGGGGCGGGATGGGTGAAGGTTTGGAAGGTTTTTACTGGTTCATTTTTCATGTGCACACGGAGCTGTCGAGCCCGACAGGGTCCAAGTGGGGCAGGCACATCCCGGGGGCTTCCTCACCCCCAAGCACACCGGGCTGTGAAATGAAACCCCCCACCCACAGGTTTGGGCAAAGGGGGCTGCTGCCTTGGGGATGGGGGGCACCACTGTTCCCAAGAAGGGCCTGGCACGACCCTGGGCAGCGATCCCTGTCCCCCCGCCCCCAACTGCCACTCACCGCACCCGCTGCCTGTGCTGCACGCGTCCCTCCACCTGTAGCCCCCGCCCACCAGGGCTACGCGGCTTTGCTCTGTGCCAGCGCTGAGCAGCAAACTGTCCTTTTTGTACTTCCTGCCCTGTGCCCGGCCGCAGGACATGGGAGCGGGGGCAAGGTACCACGGCCAGCTGCCACCCTGGTCCAAGGGCTGGCTCTGTGCTGCTGCAGTTTTCATGGTTCTGTACTGAACAGTCGCTGTATTTTCATGGTTTCCTACAATAAACTGCAATGCCAGAGACCTGGGGGCAGAAGGGACCACAGGGGCAGGGGCCCAGGGGCTCTGTATGGACAGGGGTTACCCCAGCACAGGGAAGCCAGAAGTCTGGGCTGTGAGTGCAATGCATACGCTTCGCTGCCAGCAGCTGCCAGGTGCTCCGTGGCCCAGGCCTGCCTGGTGCATGCAGTACAGGCACTCCCTGCGGAGCATGAGCACATCCCTGGGGCAGGGCCCTGTGCACTGCGGGCTGCACCAGGGTGCCCAGACTGTGGGGTGCAGCATAGGCCAGCAGAGGGCAGCACAGCCCTGGAACCCAGCGCTGCGGGCACAGGGCCTCGATGCACCCATGGGTCCCGGCACCAGCGCAGCTGCCCTTGCCTAGGTCATGCTGCAGGTGCCTGCTGGGCCAGAGGATGCAAGGGCAGGACCAGGCACTCATGTCCCTGTCCTGGAGAGGCCCCAAGGGCTGGTTCTTAGTTCCTGGTTCCTGAACCCACATTCCCCCGTGAAAGGGTGGCATTTTTCCGCTCACCTGGCCCCAAAATAGATTACGAGACTTGTAAAGCGCTGAACATTGTTTGTGCAGAAGGCTGGGCATGCTGTCTGACAGAAAGGGGCCTGCCTGGGCATTTCCAGGGCCCTCCATACCCAGCCCAGCCCAGGAATCTAGAGTGGAGGGGCCCAGCCTTTACCAGGGGCTTCCAGTGGGGAGCAGAGTGCCTGGGGGTGGCACCCATGGGGCCCCATTGCCAAGGGCAGGCTCTGGCCATTGGAACTTGGGTTCAGGCCACAGAGGGAGGCTCCACCAGCAAGGCAGGCTAGCGGGTTGCAATGGGCACAGGCAGGGGCTGTTACCATTGCGGGCACTCACCTGCGGCTGGGGGTGGCTGGGGCACCTTGAGCACAGAGCAGGCGGCAGCTGGCAACTCCGTTCCTCCCAGCGTCAGGGCAGGGAGGCCACTGCAATGGGGGAGGCCTGGGAGAGCCCCAGGCTGTAGTCCCCACACCTGCCAGGGCTCTCCAAGCCAGGGACCCTAGGGCCTGGACGTGAGTGTCCCCCAACAGGGGGCATGTCTGCTGGTGCCATGGAGTCAGACAGAGGGGCAGGGTGGGGGGGATCACCAGTGGGGGTGGCACTGGGATCCTGCACTGAGCTGAGCATGGCCCCAGCTCACCCCCAGCCCTGTGCCCTGCACCCAGCAGGTACATCAGATGGGACAGGCGCTGCCCTGGCCCCCTCCCCAGCCCCCACCTGCAGCCGGTATTTTAGCCAGGTGTTCATGGTGAGCAGCAACGCACTCCCCTGTGGTCCCTTCCACCTGCCCCCTCCCCACTTGCCCCTCCTGCCCCTGCCTCCAGCCCCAGCTTTGCCCCCACACCTGTCTGCCCTTCCCCCCCAGCCCGTTTCTCCCTCTCGCCTGCCAAGCTGCAACCAACGTTCCTGTGATTTTTTGCTGTTGCCATCAGCAACCGAGACCACTGGTGTGAAACAAAGACAGAGCCGCAGAGCCCCATTGGCCCCCCTTGCCCCAGCACAGCCCCGTCCGCATGGCCTGGCCTGACCCCACAGTGCAGACCCCTGCCCAGCACCCCCTACCCTGGCCCACCCAGCCACCCCTCGCAGCCCCCCACTGCACTGGACCCCCGGAGCACCTCCGTGTTCTGCAGGGGACACGGCCACAGTCTCTGCTACGGGGTCTCTGCTGACTGGGCACAGGGGAGCCCTGTCTGGGGGATCACACCACAAGCTGCAGAGTAGACTGGGCACTTGGGGCCTGCCAGCGCTGTGTTGTGGAGGGCACCCCAGCCCCACCGTGCCCACGCCCTGAACCCATGCCTCTCTTCGACGTCACTTTTCAGGTGCAGCACTGGTTTTGTTTCCTTATTTCTGACACTTCATTCCTGGCCCAGTCCCTCCCTTCACCCCGCTTCCCACCCTCGGCTGCCTGCCTCCACCTGCCCCAGCCAGTCCAGTGCCAACGCCCACACCGGCAGCAGGAGCGGGCAGCCCCTGCAGTCAGATCCTGCGGGGAGTCCGAGGACCCACTGACAGTGCACAGGGTTGGACATGGGGCAGCACCACGCTGCAGCCCCATGCTCCGGGTGCCAGGAAGTCTGGCTGAGTGCTGGTTTTTCCCACGCTGCCTCTCCCTGCCGATACTGCTGGCCCCGTCATGGTCATAGCTGAGCGTCATGGCCCTGGCATGCTCCTTCCCACTGTTTGTGCAGGAGGTGTCACAGGGCACGGCTCTGTTGAAAGAGCCAGGCCATGGGTGCACAAACAGCCTCATGGGACCCTGCAGCCAGGAAGGCAGTGTGGTGGCTGGCCCCACCCCGGGATGTGCTGTGAGTGGAGACAATGACAGCACCAAGGTGGCCGGAGCAGGATTTTTGCGAAGTTTGTTCCTTTATCGCTCTTCCCAATGGCTTTATGGGCCCATCACCTCCATGGCCTGTTGGGAAATGCCCCAGTCACGGAAGCGCTGTCTGCTTGGCCTCTGCACCACTTGCACACAGCAGTCCTGCTGCTCTGCAGGGCTCTAGGTAATGCTGCTCGAGTCTGGCGCACCCCACGGCTCTGTGCCCTCCCCACCCCGCCTCGCTGCCGGATGCGACTGCCCAGTAGGAACACACGAGGACGAGGATGAGCCCCCACCCCAGAGCCATGGTGCCAGATTGGCATGGGGCTCGGCAGGGCAAGGAGACAGGCCCCTGGGGCTCAGCGGCCAGCACCTGCTGCACGCCTGGGCTGCATGGGAGGAAGCCAGTCCAGAGTCAAGAGTCAGCACAGACCTTTTTATTGTGAAACGCTATAAATACAGGACTGCCAGCACCCTCCACCCCTCGCGGTGTGGCGCCCACACCCACAGCCCCATCCACACACACAGAGCCCAGCTGCCAGCACAGGCAGAGCCTGAGCCCAGAACCCATGGGGCAGTGCCTGGGGCTGGGCAAGGGATGGGGCAGGGGTGCAGGGCAGCCAGCAGGGCACAGCCCCCTCTCCCATCCCTTGTTTGCCTGGTTCCTTCATGCGCTCAGACCCAGCTGCTCCAGAACCACCCTGGGGCCAGCGACGTAGGGCAGGGGCAGGGACGACAGGGCTGCGCAGGGCTGTGCCGGCCCCATCGGCTGAATCGGGGCAGGAGCAGGCCCCGAGGTGCCATGGCCCCTGCCCCAGGCCACCGAGGTCTTGCCCGCATGCCCGGCTGTGCCCGGAGCCATCCCAGGCCGGAGCCCGCTCCCGCCTGTCCTGGACACGCGCCCCTCAGAGGTTCTCGGACGACAGCGCTGGGTTGGTGTAGGACAAGGCTCTGGAGCCGTTGCCGGAGACCTGGGAGGAAGCAGAGGGGCCACGTTGGAGCCAGCCGAGCACTGGGATAATCTCCCGTTGCCCAGCAACCGGAAGCCCCGGCCTGCGGCACGTAACTCTATCGGTGCCCGTTAAACTCATCAGCTAGCGAGAAATAGGGAATACCATGTTTACCAGTGCACCTGTTGGGGTAACTAGAAATAATGGCCACAAACCGGAAGAGAGCCAATTCAGACTGGACATCAAGAAAAAATTCTTTACAGTGAGGGTTGCCAAAATATGGAATAAGTTTCCACAGGAGGTGGTGCTGTCCCCTTCCTTGGAGGTATTTAAAAGGAGATTGGACAGATGCCTGGCTGTGGTCATCTGACCCCGGCACTCATTCCTGCCCAGGGCAGGGGGTCGGACTTAATGATCCAATAGGTGCCTTCTGACCCTAACAACTATGAAACTATGAAATGAGCTGCCAGCCTGGCAGTGCCCCTTGTCCTGGCACGACCCCCCAGCCCTGCGCCACGGGGCTAGTGCTTGGAGCACCTGGTGCCATGGGGCAGGCACTGGCCCTGCTCCAGGCCCCGGCACCACAAACAGCCCAGTGTCGACAGTAAACACTCCTGCCATCACGCGGCTGGGGGTGAAGCCACTGTGTAGGGTCTGGCCAGCCAGGGCCCCTCCCGGCCCCAGGGCCAGCGCGACTGAGTCACCCCCTCCCTGCACTCCCTGCCCCCACAGTGCCAGCCCACAGCCTGCTGGGGCCCAGGCCAGCCCAGACTCAGTTCTTCCCTGTCCTGCCGATAAGCCAGCGGGGCAGGAGCAGAGGTAAATATTTACCCAGGTCGCTGGTATTTGAACAACCTGAGCTGCCTGTGCAAAGTGGAACAGCTGGATCCAGCCCTGCCCCTGCCCCTGCCCTGCAGTGCCCAGGCCCCATGTCCACAAACAATCCCAGACAGCAGGTCAGGTTGGGTTGGGTCAGGTCGTGCCCAGCTCAGTGCTCCCTGCCCTGGCCTCGCCAGCCGGCCCCTTGCACCTGGCCTTTGCTCCCTGCCATGCCAAATGCAAAGCAGGTGGGAACGGCGGTGCGGGATGAGTCACCGCTGCCCAGGCCGGCTCAGCTCTCACACGCCACTGACATGGCAGCACCCCCAGCATGGGTGCCCTGACCCATTGTCTCTACTCCAGCGTCGTTCCTGCAGCCCTGGAGCAGACGGGGCCAGGCCAGCTGAGTGTGGCGGAGATTTCAGGGCCAGGAGACCTCCAGCCCCCTCCATCCAATCCGCCTCTGCCAAGGCTGTGGGGGCCAGAGCCGGGGGAGCACCCAGCCCAAGGGCAGGAGGGCAGCAGCTGAGCCAAGGTCACCCGTGGGAGGGAGGGAGCCGTGAACCCAACCCGGCTCCAGCTAGGGTCCGTCAGTGCCTACTCAGTCAGGCATGACTATGACGCTCACCCACGTCCGGAGCGCAGTCGCCTGGAACGCACTGGTCAGGGCTCAGGGCAGGGCCTGGCCAGGCCATGGCCATGCGCCACCCCAGCTCCTGCACCCGCACCACCCCTTTGGCCCTGTGCCTCTGCCCCGTTAGCCATTCCTGGGGAGAGGAGGGTCACGGGGGCAGTGGTCACGTGGGAAGCAGCCCACACCGCCCATGGCAGAGACCAGCCCCATGCCTGCGTCCAAAGGGGGCTGGCCCCACTCACCTCACTGTAGGGGTTGGGTTTGGTGGCAGGTGCCATGTAGCGCCCATGGGTGTGGTAGGTAGGGTACTCGCTCATGGGGTGGTAGGAGTCCTGCAAGCTGAATAGGTCCAGCTTCCCACGGCGGCTTCTGCAGCAGGAGCAGAGGATCTGGAAGAAAGGAGGAGCGGAGAGGGTGAGGGCACTGTGGCATGGAGCACGCCGGCGGGAACGGGCCCAAGGACCAGGCAAAGGACACTCACCAGCAGGATGAAGATGATGATGCTCAGCACCAGCAGGATGCAGACCAGCACGAGCAGGGCGATGCCCCAGCCAGGCACTATGGATGCTGGTGCTGGCCCCGGCTGTGGGGCAGAGCTTTCAGGAGCAGCTGCAAAGCAAGCAGCAGCTGTCACCACAGGGCTGACCCGGGGGGACAGCAGGGCACTGGGCCCAGGCACAGTACACGCAGCTGACAGGGATGGACCACAGGGTGACAGAGGCCACCAGCAAGGCACTGGGAGGGGCAGAGCCACTGGGGCCTGGGGATGTGGGTGCTCACCCTGTGGCTCTGGGCTGGCCAGGTCCTGGGGGCATATCCTGGCCACAGTGGCCACCTGTGTGGATCGCTGGGCATCTGTCCCCAACTGCCACCACACAGGGATTGAGGGACCCCACCTGGGCTCCTGCTCACCTCGGACATCATTTATCTGGAGCCCTTCAATCTCTTTGTTACTGTTCAGCTTCTTTTCAAGCTGGAGGGCAATGCTGTTGGCATTGAGGCTGGTGTTGTTCTGCCTATACAGCTGGATGCATTGCACAACCACAGAGCCCTGGCTACAGAGAGAGGAAGTGTCAGTGGGGCTGGGCCCATCCCTGCCCCACTGCCAACCACTTGCACATGCCCCCCATGGCACACTGTCCGGTGTCCCTGCCACCCCCGATGCCCCACTCCCTGAGGCAGGGCGGTACCTGAACTGGAGGCCGGTGTAGCCCTGGTAGTCCTCGCAGTTGGGGCACGTGTCGCAGGCATAGACCTTCTGGAACTGGAGCAGACGACACAGCCTCAGACACTATAGCCCCTCTGCCCTCCCTGGTCCTGGTACCAAGGGCCCAGGGCCAAATGCCCAGCAAACTCCTGTGCAGAGACTTCCAGAGCCAGCTCTGCGTGAGTGTCTGCCTGCCCCGGCTCCATGCACAGCCCCCAGCTCCAGCCATTGGTGTAGACCATGCACAGCATGATGGAGCTCCTGGCCCCAGACCCCCCCACCCCCCACCAAACCCATAGGGGCTTCCGCCTGCTTACTATGGTGTGGATGGTGCTTGCCAGCTGCTTGTAGTAGGAGGATATGGTGTCATGCAGGGACTCATTGAAGTCCTTGTTGACAATGTGGAAGGAGAGGGAATAGCTGAGAAGGTTCAGGGCCACCACAGGGGTCTGGTTGCTAGCCGGAGGGGAGGAGGAGGTCCTAGGCAGCACAGGCACGGTAGACTCAGGGCTCGTGTCCAAGGGCTCGTGCCCAGGGCTCGTGCTCGTGTTAGCTGGTGTGGTCTTGAGAGCTTCAGTGCTGCCAGTGGTTGCTGTCCCGGTGCTGGGGGCTTCGGTCCCAGTGTTGGGAGCTGCAATGCTGCTGGTGGTTGTATTCCCAGTGCTGGGAGCTGTGGTGCTACCAGTGGTTGTGTTCCCAGTGCTGGGAGCTGTGGTCCCATTGCTGGGGGCTGTGGCCTCATTGCTGGGGGCTGTGGTGCTGCCAGTGGTTGTGTTCCCGGTGCTGGGGGCTATGGTGCTGCCAGTGGTTTCATTCCCGGTGCTGGGGGCTGTGGTGCTGCCAGTGGTTTTATTCCCGGTGCTGGGGGCTGCGGTGCTGCCCAGTGGTTTCATTCCCGGTGCTGGGGGCTGTGGTGCTGCCAGTGGTTTCATTCCCGGTGCTGGGGGCTGTGGTGCTGCCAGTGGTTTCATTCCCGGTGCTGGGGGCTGTGGTGCTGCCAGTGGTTTCATTCCCGGTGCTGGGGGCTGTGGTGCTGCCAGTGGTTTCATTCCCGGTGCTGGGGGCTGTGGTGCTGCCAGTGGTTTCATTCCCGGTGCTGGGGGCTGTGGTGCTGCCAGTGGTTTCATTCCCGGTGCTGGGGGCTGTGGTGCTGCCAGTGGTTTCATTCCCGGTGCTGGGGGCTGTGGTGCTGCCAGTGGTTTCATTCCCGGTGCTGGGGGCTGTGGTGCTGCCAGTGGTTTCATTCCCGGTGCTGGGGGCTGTGGTGCTGCCAGTGGTTTCATTCCCGGTGCTGGGGGCTGTGGTGCTGCCAGTGGTTTCATTCCCGGTGCTGGGGGCTGTGGTGCTGCCAGTGGTTTCATTCCCGGTGCTGGGGGCTGTGGTGCTGCCAGTGGTTTCATTCCCGGTGCTGGGGGCTGTGGTGCTGCCAGTGGTTTCATTCCCGGTGCTGGGGGCTGTGGTGCTGCCTGTGGTTGTGTTCCCAGTGCTGGGATTTGCGGTACTGCCAGTGGTTGTATTCTTGGTGCCGGGTTCTGCAGTGTTGCCAGTGGTTGTGTTTTCACTGCTGGGTTCTGCAGTGTTGCCAGTGGTTGTGTTCTCGGTGCTGGGGTCTGTGGTGCTGGCAGTGGTTGTATTCTCGAGGCTAGGGTCTGTGGTGCTGGCAGTGGTTGTATTCTCAGTGCTGGGATGTGTGGTTGCAGGTGAGG